ATGATTTATTTTGTCAGTCCTGAAGCCCCAAGCTGTGGGGTGTGGTCCACAAACCCGAAGGACGGGATGCCACCCAGAGGGACCCGGTCAGGCTGAGCAGTGGGCCCAGGAGAACCTCATGAGGTTCAAGAAATCCAAGTGCAAAGTGTGGCAGCAGAGTTGTGACAGTCCCCACTACCAGTACAAGCTGGGGGATGAAAGCATGGAGCACAGCCCTGCTGAGAAGGACCTGGTGGGTACTGGTAATTTCGGTAATGTTGTATTTCCTAAAGTCCAGCCTGAATCTCCCCAGTGCAACTTGAGGCCATTCCCTCTTATCCAATTACTGTCACATAAGAGGCCGACCCCCAGCTCCCTGCAGCCTCCCTTCAGTCACAGAGAGCAATAAGGTCTCCGCTGAGCCTCCTCTTCTCCATACTAAATAACCCAGCTCCCTCAGCTGCTCCTCATAAGACTTGTGCTCCAGACCCCTCACCAGCTTTGTTACCCTTCTGTGGATGTGCTCCAGGGCCTCAATGTCTTCTTTGCAGTGAGGGTCCAAAAAGTGAACACAGCACTGAAGTTGCAGCCTCATCAATGTGAGTACAGAGGGACAATGACTTCCCTACTCCTGCTAGCAGTGCTATTTCTGATACAGGCCAGGATGCCGTCGGCCTTCATGGCCACCTGGGCGCACTGCTGGCTCGTGTTCCTCTGAGCATCAATCAATACCCCCAGGTCCATTTCCTCTGCATAGTCTTCCAGCCACTCTGCCCCATGCCTGTAGCATTCTTTAGGGTTGCTGTGGCCAAAGCCCAGGACCCGGCATTCATTCTTGTTGAACTTCAAACCATTGGCTTACAGCCTCACGACCCTCTGTAGGGCCAGGCAACCCCCAGGCAGGTCGACACTTCCTGCCAACTTGGTGTCATCTGCAAGTCATGGATATTCAAGGAATGCTTGGATTTTGTGTTGAGGGACCTGGTCTAGTGAGAACTATTGGTGATGGCTGGATGGTTGGACTGGATGATCTTGAAGGTCTTTTCCAACCTCGGTGATTCTGTGATTCTGTGATTCTGTGACAAAAGCCTTATGGGGGTGGTTACAGCAGTGGGAACAAAACCACTGTTGGAAATATCCAAATAATTTACCAGGACGGTATCTCTGATAAAGCAGAGATCTCCATCGTGCCCCATAAATCTCCTGCAAGGAGAGCACACAGAAAACAGCATTCCATCATTTTGCCCTATTACTTGACGCTTATCTCTTTGTCCCCTGGTTCCTCATTGGCTGAGTGCTTCGGGTTCACAATCTTCCCAACACTCAACTAAACATACGGATACTGGCTAAACATCAGTTTTCACTAGGTAAGCACAATCTCTAATTAGTTAACTTCTCACACTTGCTCGTTCAACACTTGGTCGTTGTTTCTGGACATCTGCTCATCCTTGCATAGAGATAAGTTTGGAAGGAGGATAAGGGGGAGTATCTTGATGCCTGCTGTTGCATCCCAACCTACCCACAGAGCAAGGCAAGCCAGCCTTGTGTGGAGGCCCTGGCCTCTTTGATGCTTGTTAAGTCTGTTTTCCTTTTGCTGGGGGCCTCTTATCCAAACAGAACAGCTCTACAATATGGACATGTATGTAAAGAGCATGTTGGGAAAAGCAGTTTGGGTCCTTCCAGCTTTTGGAAAGGGCAAACCTCTCCTCTGTGGAACTGCTTTTGCACAGAGACTTGGGTCCACCTGGTGGGTGATGGAGAAGGATGGGGATGTTCAATGTGTACCACAAGGGAATTTGAATTTTGGGGAGTGCAGTCAGTAATTCTATGTATGTATACATATATATATATGTATATAGACACGTGTGTCTGACACATTTTAATTATTCTTTTCTGTGTGTATGAATATACATTAAGCACAATACAGTGAGGTAGAGTAAAGGGTGGAGTGCCATGGTTTTATGATTCTTGTTATCAGTATGCCACATCACAACAGAGTTAATACTCCAGTTCCGTGGGCTGACAACTTTCTGGGTACCTGGTTCTGAGAAAAGAAGAAGAGCTGCACATCCCAGGGCACTTTGCGTTCAGAGAGGAAGAGAAGTCATGGAGGAAGCCATGGCATCTCTCCCTCTCTCGCTCCCTGGCAGTGTTGTGGTGCTCCCCACCCACACGCCTTCAGTTCAAAGTAGAACGTTCAGTTTTGGATGCTCTCTTTATTATTTTATTTGATTTATTCACCTCAATTTCAATTAGATTGTATTATATATTGTGTTATCTTGCTTCCCGATTTCATGTTTAGTAAAATTACGTTTTCCTCCTTAGATTGTTACAGCTGTTCTGTTTTTGGGCCCAGCTCCCATATCCCTACCCTTCCCCTTTTCCCTTCCCATTTTGGGTCCAGAGGCCTACCGACCTGCTGCCCCCTGTCATGGGCACAGATTGATCTAACTAGCCCTTTGACAACCATAGAGACCCAAAAGACCCATAGGGACCCATAGGAACCCATAGAGACTCATAGGGACCTATAGAGATTCATAGAGACCCATCAAAATCCATAGAGACCCATAAAGAGTCCTAGGCACCCACTGAGATCTGTCAAGACCCATAGAGACACATAGAGACCTTTGAGACCCATACAAATCCCATAGAGACCTACTAGGACTAAGATAGAGAGCTATAGGGACTCATAGGGAATCATAGAGACCCACACAGACCCATAGAGACTCGTACTGACCCATAGAGACCCATAGAGACCCATAAGGCCCCTGCTTTGAGGACTGTCAGCAGGAAACACATCATGCTCAACACACACAGGGAGGGAAGGGTGCCCAGATTTGCAGCTCCTGGTTAGATAACAGTGAAACTGACACTCAGTGTCCAGACACAGTCACCAGTTTTAAGGCTAATCTGAGCACTATGGTTATCTGTAAGGTACTGGCACTTCTACAAGTATTTCCATGTGCAGCAACACTTTGTGATGTTCTAAAAAACCCAAGTAAGTCTTGTGTTACTCAACATCTTTATGAGAGGAACAGAAAGAAAAGAGAGAGACAGAGTTGGGGGGGTGGGGTGAAAGAGACAGAGGGACAGAGAAAGAGATCACAGGTCTGGGTTCCAGCTTTGATCCAGCCAATGGAGGTGGGGGGGCTTGGCTTGTGAGCATGCTTGACCCATAACTTTGTAGCATGGAAGTCTCAAAACAGAACCTCAAGGATCTCTCTGGCATCCTTCTTTGGCTCCTCAGTTTACAGGTGGGCCACCCAGGGCTGTGAGTGAGTTGGCAATAAACAAGTCCATCAAAAACAAGTTTGCAGTCAGAAATTCCTATAGCACAGTGAAAACATTTTGGACAGAGCAAGGCTGTGTCATTTTTCATAGCATTCCCTCCTCCCCCAAGTCTCCAGCCTGCATCCTGTTGACATGGCAATGCTCTGCCAAGCCTTTGAGACAACTCCAGGCACACCACAGGCAAAGTGTTTTTTGTTGGCCTGCTGCGTAATGCAGGACCTGAGGGCTGACACAAATGCAAGGCGAATGGAGAACAGCGTGGTGGTGCAAAGAGAGCAGCACTGAAAAGACCACGTCCTGCTGCTGCCCGTGGCTGTGGCTGCAGGGAAGCAGCAGCACAACTCAAAGGCAGCAGAGAGGGAGCGCCCAGCGGGCGGTGAGGGGCAGCCCCACAGACACCAGGGCTGCTGCTCCGTGTGGCACTGGGCTCTTGGTTCCTGCAGGCTCCCCTGAGATGCAGATGATAGTCTAATTTTTTTCTTATTGTTTTTATTTTTTTAATCTTCTCAAACAGTCTACGGCTTGAAGAACAATAAAGCTTTCAGAAGTAAGAAAAACAATGTAGATGGAAAATACCAATCAATAATATTGTTTAAGTGGAGTAAAAACTATTGTAAGTATTAAAAACAAATAAAAATATATGAAATATTACATGATGCCATTCCTAGCTTTTCTTGTGTTTGTGGTACTCATGTGAAGATAATGAAGATAAAATTAATGCTGAAGAAAAAAATATATAAAGAGTTTCCTGAGGGCATCTTTGATCTCCCGATTCCTCATGCTGTAGATGAGGGGGTTCAGTGCTGGAGGCACCACTGAGTACAGAAATGACACCACCAGGTCCAGGGATGGGGAGGAGAAGGAGGGTGGCTTCAAATAGGCAACCATGGCAGTGCTGAGAAACAGGGAGAGCACAGCCAGGTGAGGGAGGCACGTGGAGAAGGCTTTGTGCCGTCCCTGCTCAGAGGGCATCCTCAGCACGGCCCTGAAGATCTGCACATAGGACAGCACAATGAAAACGAGACAAGCCAAAAAAGACAAGGATACTAAACACAATAAGCCCAACTTCTCTGAGGTAAGAAGTAGAGCAGGAGAGCTTGAGGATGTGGGGGATTTCACAGAAGAACTGATCCACAGCATTGCCATGACAAAAAGGCAGTGAAAATGTACTGGCAGTGTGTAGTACAGCATTCAGAACTCCACTGTCCCAGGCAGCTGCTGCCATGGTGGCACAAGCTCTGCTGTCCATCAAGGTCCCGTAGTGCAGGGGCTTGCAGATGGCAACATAGCGGTCATAGGACATGATGGTGAGAATGCAATACTCTGCTGACATCAGAAAGAGAAACAGAAAGGTCTGTGCAGCACATCCAGCATAGGAGATGTGCCTGGTGTCCCAGAGGGCATTGGCCATGGCTTTGGGGAGAGTGGTGGAGATGCAGCCCAGGTCGAGGAGGGCGAGGTTGAGCAGGAAGAAGTACATGGGGGTGTGCAGGCGGTGGTGGCAGGCTACGGCTGTGCTGATGAGGCCGTTGCCCAGGAGGGCAGCCAGGTAGATGCCCAGCAAGAGCCAGAAGTGCAGGAGCTGCAGCTGCCGCGTGTCTGCCAACGCCAGGAGGAGGAACTGGCTGATGGAGCTACTGTTGGGCATCTGCAGTTCCTGCTGGGCCTGGAGTCCTGTGCAGAGTGCAGAAGATAATGACGAGTCAAGAGCTTTTTCAGAGACACTCCACCCCTATACTATAACAGTTTTTCTTTCTCTTAGGACAGGGTTCATTTAACTCCATAACTTGAATTTACATGAGCTTCACCATCCCTTGAGAAGTGGAAGATGAAGGAGCTCTTGCTTTCCTCTCATTGCCTAATCATATCCCAGCCTCCTGGATACTTTCTTCCTGTGACATATTTCCATTCCTCGTATCTTTCGTCTGTCTGCACTCAGAGTGCCCATTCCTACCTCTGTGCACTTGAATTTCTACTAGAGAAAGCTGCCTGTTTGCTGGACAAGTGCATTATTCATGTCTGCAGAGAAGCATGGAAATCTCAGCTGGTGCAATCCTTTGGGAGAAGAGGGGCTGAAAGCACATGAGGAGTTTGTGCATGTAACTGCAGACTGAGAAACGTACAGTTCAGGACTCTTATAGCTGTGTTCATATTTCACATCTCCTTTCAGATCTCTGCCTCCAACTCATTCTCCTTCCCTAAGGACAGGTATGGGAAAATCCCTGCCTTGTCTCTCCTCTTGCAAAGTGCCCTTGGAGACACTCTGGCAGCGCTGAAGCTGTGATCCCCATGCCCCCAGCAGCAGAAGGCTCCTGCCCTGCCCTGCCCTGCCCTGCCCTGCCCTGCCCTGCCGAGGGGCTCCTTCCCCCCACACATCTCCCCGCAGCGCCCTGGGCAGCTCCCCAGGCAGGCTGAGCACCGAGCCTGGCAGGCGGCAGAGTCACAGCCTGCAGTGAGACTGACCTTGTCAGAGGCTGCCAGCGATGCTCCTCCAGTGAGCTCACAGCCTGCTCACACCATACACATCCTACAAGCTCTCTCTCCTTTCTCTGCTCTCCTCCTGTCACCTGCAGGCTGTGCTGTGTAGAAGAGCTGCTCCTGGGCACAGCTGTCTCTCTGCAGCACTGCCCACTTTTATGAGCTCCCTGTGTCCCAGCAGCCCGGCCCAGCTCTCCAGCAGAAGATGTCATTTTCTCTTCCTCACTGCTCTCCCTGGGGATGTCCTTAGGTCTCTGCATTGGCAGCTCCTGATAGACAACAGGGTCATCTCTGCACAACGTACTTTGAAGTCAGATGAATTAATCACCAGTACACAGACTGATTCCTGCAGCATTTTTTGTCCTAGCAGACTGTGTGTGCCTAGCAAAGCTGCAAATGCCCCATCTGGTGTCATGGTTTTACGATCCTTGTTATTGGTACTCCACATCATAACATCATGTAAAGCACAGGGAATTAAGGAGTAAATACTCCAGGTCTGTGGACGGACAACTTTCTGGATCCCTGGCTCTCAGGAGAGAAGAACTGCATACCCAGAGGACTCTGAGTTCAGAGGGGAAGATCAGTCATGGCAGTAAGTCCCAGGATCTCTCCCTTGCTCGCTGCCCTGCAGTGCGTGGCTTCGCTCCCCAGCCGTGCGCCTGCAGTTCAAAGCAAGGCTTTTGGTTTCAGACGCTCACTCTCTCATTTTATATGATTTATTACCCTAAATTTCAATTTTAGTTTATAATATTGTGTTATCTTTTATCTTGCATTCCCATATCATATTTAGTAAAATTACATTTCCTCCTAAGATCCTTGCTGCTGATTTATTATTGTTGTTGTTATTATTATCATTCATATTATCATTCATATTTTTATTTTTGGCCAGAAGGACTGCAGGCCTGCTGTCCTCTGTCACGGGCACAGATAGTTCTAGATAGCTCCGAGACAAGGTAGCACACTCAGTAATAGAAAACAAGCGATGTTTAAGATTAAAAACAGGGATTTCTAGGAAAATAAGTGATATTTAAGAGGAAAAACAGGGATTTCTGGCAGAAAGAGCCATATTGAAAGGGAAAGACCACAGATTTAATGGGAAAAATCGATTTTTAGCAGAAAAAGCCAGATTTAAGGGGAAATGCCCCGTATTTAAAGGGTAAAAGAAGGATTTCTAGCAGAAAAAGCCATATTTAAGGGGAAAAACAGGGATTTCTATGAAAAAAAAAACCCAATTTCAGGTGAAAAACCCCATATTTAAGGGAAAAACAGGGATTTCTGGCAGAAAAAAGCCAGATTTAAGGGGAAAAACAGGGATTTCTGTGAGAAAACCCCAGGTTGAAGGGGAGAAATAAGGATTTCTAGCAGAAAAAGGCATATTTCTGGGAAAAAAACCCAGATTTAAGGGGAAAACCAGGGATTTCTAGCACAAAAAGCCATTTTAAGGGGAGAAACAGGGATTACTGGCAGAAAAAGCCATATTTAAGGGGAAAGGCCACAGATTTAATGGGAAAAATCCATTCTTAGCAGAAAAAGACATCTTTAAGGGGAAAAATCCCAGATTTAGTGGGAAAAAACGGGGATTTCTGCCAGAAAACCAAAGATTGAAGGGGAAAAACAGGAATTTTGAGCAGCAGAAGCTCATATTTAAGGGGAAAAATCCCAGATGTAATGGGAAAAACTGGGCTTTCTGGGAGAAAAAGCCAGATTGAAGGGGAAAAAACCCAGATTTAAGGATCAAAACAGGGATTTCTGGGAGAAAAAGCCATATTTCATGGAAAAACCCCAGATTAAATGTAAAAACAGGAATTTCTAGTAGAAAAAGCCATATTTAAGGGGAAAACCCCAATATTAAACAGGAAAAAAAGGGATTTCTAGCAGAAAAAGCAATATATAAGAGGAAAACCATCATATTTTAGGGGAAAAACAGGGATTTCAAACAGAAAAAGCATATTTAAAGGACATGACCGCAGATTTAATGGGAAAAATTCATTTTTAACAGAAATCGCCATTATTATAGGGAAATGCCCTACATTAATATTTTCATAGAAATCCCTGTTTTCACCGTTAAATATCGCATGTTTCCATAGAAATCCCTGTTTTTAACCTAAAATATTGCATATTTTCATAGAAATCCCTTTTATTCTCCCCATAAATATTGCTTATTTTCATAGAAATCCCAGTTTTTCCCATTAAATATCGCTTATGTACCCGAACTCTAACCCTAACCCTAACCCTAACCATAACCCTAACCCTAACCATAACCCTACCCTAAACCTAACCCTACCCTAACCATAATCCTGACCCTAACCCTAACCCTAACTCTAACCCTAACGCTAACCCTAACCATAACCCTAATCCTAACGCTAACCCTACCCTAAACCTAACCCTACCCTAACCCTAATCCTTACCCTAACCTTAACCCTAACCCTAACCCTAAACCTAACTAAAACCCTAACACTAATCCTAACCCTAACCCTTACCCTACCCTAACCCTAACCCTAACCCTAACCCTAACCCTACCCTAACCCTAACCCTAACCCTAACCCTAACCCTAACCCTAAACGTAACCCTAACCCTAACCCTACCCTAACCCTAACCCTAACCCTAACCCTAAACCTAAACCTAAACCTAAACCTAAACCTAAACCCTAACCCTAACCCTAAAACTAACCCTAACCCAAACCCTAACCCTAACCTTAACCCTAACCCTAACCAAAACCCTAAACCAAACCCTAACCCTAACCCTAACCCTAACCCTTACCCTACCCTAACCCTAACCCTAACCTTCACCCTAACCCTAACCAAAAACCTAACCCTTACCCTACACTAACACTACCCCTAACCCTTACCCTAACAAAACCCTAACCCTAACCCTAACCCTAACATAACCCTAACCCTAACCCTAACCCTAACCCTACCCTACCCTAACCCTAACCCTAACCCTAAACCTAAACCTAACTCTAACCTAACCCTAACCCTAACCCTAACCCTAACCCTAACCCTAAACTTAACCCTAACCCTTACCCTACTCTAACCCTAAACCTAACCCTATCCTACCCGTAACCGTTACCCTACTCTAACCCCAAACCTGATCCTAACCCTAACCCTAACCCTACCCTAACCCTAACCCTTACCCTAACCCTAACCCTAACCCTACCCTAACCCTAACCCTTACCCTAACCCTAACCCTAACCCTAACCTTAACGCTAACCTAACCCTAACCCTAACCTTAACCTTAACCCTACCCTAACCCTAACCCAAATCCTAACCCTAAACCAACCCTAACCCTAACCCTAACCCTAACCCTAACCCTAACTCTAAACCTAACCCTAACCCTAACCCTAACCTTAACCCTACCCTAACCCTAACCCTAACCCTAACCCTTACCCTACCCTAACCCTAACCCTAACCCTAACCTTAACCCTAACCCTAACGAAAAACCTAACCCTAACCCTACCCTAACCCTTACCCTAACCCTAACCCTAACCCTAACCCTAACCCTAACCCTAACCCTAACCCTAACCCTAACCCTAACCCTAACCCTAACCCTAACCCTAACATAACCCTAACCCTAACCCTAACCCTAACCTTACCCTACCCTAACCCTAACCCTAACCCTAAACCAACCCTAACCATAACCCTAACCCTAACCCTAACCCTAACCCTAACCCTAACCCTAACCCTAACCCTAACCCTTACCCTAACCCTAACCCTAACCCTACCCTAACCCTAACCCTAACCCTAACCTTAACCTTAAACCTACCCTAACCCTTACCCTAACCGTAACCCTAACCCTAACCCTAACCTGAACCCTAACCCTAACCCTAACCTTAACCTTAACCCTACCCTAACCCTAACCCAAATCCTAACCCTAACCCTAACCCTAACCCTAACCCTAACCCTAACCCTAAACCTAACCCTAACCCTAACCCTAACCTTAACCCTACCCTAACCCTAACCCTAACCCTAACCCTTACCCTACCCTAACCCTAACCCTAACCTTAACCTTAACCCTAACCCTAACGAAAAACCTAACCCTAACCCTACCCTAACCCTTACCCTAACCCTAACCCTAACCCTAACCCTAACCCTAACCCTAACCTTAACGCTAACCTAACCCTAACCCTAACCTTAACCTTTACCCTACCCTAACCTAACCCTAACCCTAACCCTAAACCAACCCTAACCATAACCCTAACCCTAACCCTAACCCTAACCCTAATCCTAACCCTAACCCTAACCCTAACCCTAAACCTAACCCTAAACCTAACCCTAACCCTAACCCTAACCTTAACCTTAAACCTACCCTACCCTAACCCTAACCGTAACCCTAACCCTAACCCTAACCTGAACCCTAACCCTAAACCTAAACTTAACCTTAACCCTAACCCTAACCCTAGCCTTAACCCTAACCCTAACCCTAACCCTAACCCTAACCCAAACCCTATCCCTAACCCTAAACCTAACCCTAATCCTAACCCTAACCTAACCCTAACCCTAAGCCTAACCCCAACCCTAACCCTA